GCGACTTGAAGCCTACAGGCTTGGACAAACTTGCCTATACTTAGTTAATCGTTATTCAACTATAATATGCAAGGGTAGAAACAATAATATCCCAAGTTTCCTTTCCCTTCTCTGACCCTTGCCTAGGCAAATAGTGCGACATTAGGATTATACAAGATTACTAGTAGAAATTTATGCTATACTAGAATGTTCTTATGCATCTCTATAATCTCAATTCTTTAATAAGATAAACAACAACAAATATTTCATTTGTGTTGAATCTAATCGAAAACAAATCTCCAGATAAACTGCTATACTCTCTCTCTTCGTATAGATATACGTGAATAAATTTATTCTCAATTTACATACAAGTTGTATCTGCCTACTTAAATCATCGGCACCGCAGGCAATTGACACTGTTGTTTTTGCAACAAACTCCGCTAGGTATACACGAGGATGTATCTAAGACGAGCTAATAACGGAACTTTCTTTAAGATTATTTGAAAAAAGGGGATTTAGTAATTAATTGTTGATTGTTGATATTTAAACAATTTCACAAGAAGAGTCAATTTGCATAGACTTTCTCGGTAAATTTAATTGAATTAGTAAGCATAAAAATAGCTAGCTAATAGGGTGGTGGATATTTTTGCTTCAAAGAGGGAAAAAATATTCACACTCCCACACACGCAATTAATATCAACGCCAGTCTAAGTCTGTCGTTAGATATTCTGTCCATTCTGAAGTGATTGACGTTTTTTTATATCTAAAAAATCCAACACCTTCGGGTTTTTATGATCTAAATTGATATATTTTCTTGAGAAAATCCCATCTAAAATGCAAGTCTTTAAAAATCATTATTTTAATATTGATTTGTTAATGATAGAATTTTTTCCCCGTTTTACCCCATTTTCGGAGTGAAATATTTGATTCTTTAAATGTTTGACCTGATTCCGCATTTCTAGGCATCGAGAGGAAGAGAATGAGTGGTCAAACTTGAAAATCGGACAACTTTGATTTTTCGACCCCAAAAAATGGCAAGTGGTACCCCTTTCCATTTTTTTAGGCCAAAAAATAAAAGTACTCCGATTTTGATGATTGAGGGCTCATTCTCTTCGTCTTGATGCGTAGAAATGCGGAATCGGGGCACAGCCCGAAAAAGTTCACTTTAACACCCTCAAAAGGGGGAAAAAGTGGATACAAATTAATAATAATCATCCCCTTGACTTTAAACCCCTATAACTCATGAACGGACGGTCCAATAACTGTTTTTAGGGACGTTTTGTAAACATTAAAATCTAAGCTATCTGACGATATCCATAGATTCATCGAGAAAAATTTCTTTCACTCTTAAAATCCCTAAAATATAAAAAAAAATCGCATTTTTTTGGGAGTTTGCCAAGTATTTTGGCCATTTTGACGGTGAAATAAATTTTTTGAACGATTTTTATGGATATGTATCTTTAGCTCAGATTCTGAAGTTTCAAAACAGCTCCTAAAAATCATTATTTGACAAATGAGATAAGAGTTATGAAGGTCCAAAGTCAAGTGATAGTCAAAAAATAATCTGCTCTTGAACTTTGAACCACCATAACTCTCATCTCATCCGTCGAATAATGATTTTTAAGAGCTGTTTTGAAACTTCAGAATCTAATCTAAAGATACATATCCATAAAAACCGTTAAAAAAATTTATTTCACCCTCAAAATGGCCCAAATAGTTGGTAAACTCCCAAAAAATGCGATTTTTTTTATATTTTAGCGATTTTACGGGTGAAAAAAATTTTTTATACATTTTTTATGGATCCTCATATTTAGCTTAGATTTTAAGGTTTCCAAAACGTCCCTAAAAACAGTTATTGGACCGTCCGTTCATGAGTTATAGGGGTTTAAAGTCAAGGGGATGATTATTATTAATTTGTATCCACTTTTTCCCCCTTTTGAGGGTGTTAAAGTGAACTTTTTCGGGCTGTGCCCCGATTCCGCATTTCTACGCATCAAGACGAAGAGAATGAGCCCTCAATCATCAAAATCGGAGTACTTTTATTTTTTGGCCTAAAAAAATGGAAAGGGGTACCACTTGCCATTTTTTGGGGTCGAAAAATCAAAGTTGTCCGATTTTCAAGTTTGACCACTCATTCTCTTCCTCTCGATGCCTAGAAATGCGGAATCAGGTCAAACATTTAAAGAATCAAATATTTCACTCCGAAAATGGGGTAAAACGGGAACTTGCTTTAATTTTACCAATAATTATGCTCTAAAAATAATTTTAACTATATTGACTTCATTTCTCTCGTCCAGATCTTTTATTTGAGTCCTCGATCAACCCCGTAGCATCATTAGCATAGAAGTTATGCACATTTTTATGTCTTACAGTTTTTTGCCAATATATCATTATTTCATTTTATGTATGTTATTTTTGCAACTAGAAAACATTCCAATTACGTTTAGAGTGAAGAGGAAAAATTTAGAAAAAAAAAAAATTTTTGTCCCCCAAACGTTCTCAAAAGTTATGATAGCTGAAATTCCTAAAAATTTCCTCAGAATCGTTCTAAGAAATTTCTACTTTATTTATTATTAATTATTTTCTATTTATTTTCTTTTATACATAATATTAATTCATTCTGGCAATTATTTATCATTAAAAAAGGAATCAATTCTAAAGAAGTGAAGTTGATCTCTGATTGTTTATTAAAATGAATAAAATTTTTGAAAAACGAGTTGATTTCATTATCAAAGCCACATCTCAAGTCCAACTGAATTGCGGAAACATTACCCAAGTTGAAGGGAAAAAGCAGGGATGCAGATGAGAGCAAGGGAAAAGTAATTAATGACGACGTCGATTATTCAAATTGACGACTCATTGGATATTAATTGCTTTCTCGTGCTCACCAGCAGTTGTCGCTTCAATTTTCCTCTCGAGATGTAATTCTCTTGCTCCTTCTTGTGCTTTACTCACTCAAAGAGGGTTTTATGACGCGAAACCACGATAACCACTCGCGCAGCATCTCGTTATAATTGAAATAAGAATGATGCTGAGGACTCGTCTGTATTATGAGAATAAGAAGATAGCAATGAAAAAGAAGAATGTCACGAGGGTGTCGTAACGGTGCATATTGGTAAAAGCTACCAACTAAAATTTAGCTCGAGACACTGTTGGACCACTGAGCCATTAAGTGTAACGAGTCTGCTTCCTTGCTGATATTAATCCCTGCAATTTTAATGTTCACCAGCATAATTTCAATATGCCACTTGTATTTGCATTATTAAAAAAAATTCCTTTCCAACACCACAAACTAACAAAAAAATGTGTATCCCCTGACTCTAGCTGAATTTATACTCTAAAGCTAGGAGGAGAGCTTGTGTGTTAAATTGAAACAGTGAAACTTGGATGATTAGATGTGATGAAGTTGAATTTATTTATGAGAAATTTTGGAAGAATAATGCTTTAGCTATCAAAAGAGAACTAGATGTTAATTTAAACGATACGAAGTGAATGGAACAAGCTCGAAATTGGCAATAATGGGAATGGAGATCAAGTTTCTCTATTCTGGTTAGTATATTCAAATTAAAGTATTGGTAATGGCCGACAATCAAAAGTTAAAAGTATCTCTGTTTAATTTACAAATTGTTTTAAACTCTTCATACCCCAGAAAAAAAATACTAAACACTTTTTTTTACTTCATGTAAAGTAGCCAGTTGTTATTTAATCAATTACATCAATAAAAATTTCTCGATAAAAATAAATTAATCTTTTCTTCAATAAAAAAATATATGAATGGAGTGGAGAAGCTTTTAAGAAATATTAGAAAGTTTCGAAACCACCAAGTGGAGCAAAAAAAAAAGAGAAAGCTTATAGGCTGCGAAAATGTCGTACGTTACGAGTTGCTCGGCTCATTACACCCGGACGTAATTTGAGGATCGTTGGACGCAGGAGGAAGGGCTCGATAAAGAGAGCAGGATAGATTTGCGACCCTTTTCAGTGTTTTTTGTTAGTCTTCCCCTCGCTTTTATTGAGCTGAATTAGCTTGATTTAGATTCCAAGATCGGTTTTAAAGATTTTTTATGAACAGGAAGTGATTTTTCTATTAATCGGACAATTAAAAGATTATAATAAACATAAAAAACATTTATAATTTTCAATATGGCTTGTTTTAGGATAAAATGAAGAAGGGTTAGGACCTTTATTATGAAATTAATTGTTAATTGAGTCACATTTAAATTTAGTATATGGAGATCTTTGTCGACTTCTCAAAGACTGTTCCTTGATAGAATAACGCAAATACTCCTTGCGTTCCTTCGACCCGAACTTGTTTCTAACGACCCTCTCGCTGAGATTCGAAATGGCTAATTTAGCGTGGTAGTTCCCCAGGGGATGCAAGAGCGTCTTGCTCCAGAATACGGTGGTAAGGTAGGAAGGAAGTTACGTAGTAGAGCACCAAGAGACTTTAGAGAACGAGAAAGACAGAGAAACTCCATGTCTTAATATAATTCTATTAGAGGTAACTATGCGAGCTCTGGTCTGCCCATCGCTGTTGAATTTAATCATGAAGCCAGCTAACCGTGCGATGTTCTCGACATTCTGCACTTCGATGAGGGTGGATAGACTACCACCCCCTCATTGTCAAATTAACCTGACCTCAACAAGTTAGATAAAACCCTTGGTATTCCCTCATGATTTTTCTCCAGCATCTATTCTGGAAAATAAATTGCAAATGATCAGGAATTATTTAGAGAATAATGCCTTGTCAATTTCATTAGGTTTATACAAATTATTGGATTTTCCTTAATGAGATAAGATGCAAGCATTGATTTTATTTAAAGCAAGATGTTGCTTCCTTTGTTTAGATCCAAGTTTCTTTGATAACATTTTTTATTTGAATTAACTTAGAATCAGCACACAATAATTTATTTTAAGACCATTATTTATTATAAAAAATTATTGTGACTCTTTTATTGTTAAATGAGATAATTAAGAATAATTTTAAGATAAAAAATAATGAATAAAATGTATGAAATTTACAGCGGAGCTGAAGATGGACGTTCTGCGGGAGAGAGAAGTGAAGGATAGTTTGGAAAGACAACTCCAAGATGAGCAGAAGACAAGAGGTGAGTAGATAGCGAATAATAAGACCTACTAGTTTTCAAAGTATCGATTGACGACGTGCTAAAGTCTTGAAGAAGAGAGACTTGGATTCGCGACGTAATAATCGAGCAGAAGAGGTGAGGAGGGAGTGTTGAGGAGTATAAGGGTGTATCGAATGTCTCGAACGGGTTTCGTACTCAAGGGGGTTAACTCGGTAATAAATCAAGAAGCCATAGAGACACTATGAGCTATAAAGTCGAACCATCCTATGAGAATGGAGGTTCTATCGCGTATCCTATTATTCTGTGTTGATGCTTTCTCTTTCCTACACGAACTCAACATTACCAGCTTCCACAAGACTCGCTACTCTTCCACCGTCCCTCGATCTGCGATCCTTCAAGTAATGGAAGGAAGGAACAGACTGAACCAAAGGCCGTGATCGCTCAACCAAGTTTGTATCGGATGTCAGTTCGTAATAGAATAGTTGTCTCGTGTTTATGGACTAGTTCCTTTGACCACGGCTTATCCAACCCTCTGGAATCACTCCTAGCGTCTCATCTTATCCAGGAAGCTTGTCCGAACTTCTAGAATCCATTCAATCATTCTCTATGGAAATTTCTCAAGTCATTAGCAAAAAGCTAGGGAGCTCTAATAAACAATAATTGAATCAGATATTTTTTTTTTTTTAATTTTACTTCATTACTAAGTTACACTAGAGTTGATAAATAATTGTAGATAATTCAATCATCATATTTTATAGCTTTAAAAAACTTTTTAGTGCTTTTACTGAAAGTAGATTGTTTTGATTAATCTTGAAAAAAAGTTTATCACAAGAAAGTTTTATGATTAAATAGTTCTTCTAGAGTAAAAATATCAATTCGTCTTAACTTGGGAATCAATTTATTTTACAAAAAATGATTATATGAATTTATTGATGGAGAAATATATGAGAATGTTGATACTAAAGTTGAGTTTGAAGCAGGAAATATTGAGAAAAAATGAAAATTTTCTGCTAATCTGCTTTTAACAACTTCATACACTGTATTATCTATAAAAAAAAAATCATCAATAGATATTTTTAATCTACCTATGAATTGTGTAATGATGAAGAAAGAGAACTATACTTTGCTGGAAAGATTTATCGTGCAACCACCCACGCATCGTCTCGAATATCAAGTGTCATAGCTGCGTCCACAAGCTTCGACCAACATTACAGATTCAGTGTGGGCGCAATATAAAGTCGTAAATAAAATATGGCCGTTGACAATACGTGTCGGATAACTCGTTGTTGGATACACAATCCAAGAGAGGGTAGCATTCAGGGTGGTGGCTGGTGGCTAGCGCTAGTCAACCGGTCTTCCCTCTCAACGCAGTTGACAAACGGATCGACAGTACCCGAGATCGATGACTCGAGACTTTTTTTTACGCCGCGAAATGCTCATTTTTCAAACGTCACCAAGTGTTTTCCGATAACAAAAAAAAAAGATATAACAGAGTAGAGGTTTTTCGGTGGGATTTCATGTGTCGCAATGTCGCGTGAATTAAAGCACCACAAAAGAATTATTGGCTTGATGAATTCATCAAGTCGATGAGCCGAAAGTTTTTCTGAAAATAAGCTAAAGGGAAAAAAATTGTTTGATGGTTCGACAATGACTGCACTATTTTTTTCTTTTTTATCTTAGCACACCCTTAAAGATTACGAATTGATTGTAATGACGTTGATAGACATTGGCTTCAATATCTTATACAGATTCTTCCATTTTTAAATGGATTAGAAAAATAGAACAGGTCAATACTTTCTAAACGTGACATCTATATTTACTAATTTCCTGAACTCTGATATCATGTATAGAAAGATGATAAGATAGCCATTCGATTTGCAGGAAAAACGACTTGGCGAAATAGCCCAACCTTTGAAGTAACATGAGCTTAGAATAACAGACAGTCCATTAGTCAACCGACTCAGTGTCAATACATGAATATGACAGCCAGACATAAAATGACCGAGCCTCCGGAACTCACCGACTTTATTTCATTCTCTTGACAATATTACTACTTTCAAAGCTAGAAAATCATTCTTCTACCATTATCTAAAAATAATATTTACCCAATCAATGAATGTCTTGATATTTTATCAATTAATTATGACATTTTAATTTTATTTAATATCTATATTACGTACCTTGTGGTAATTTATTTTTAATGCTTTATCTGTCGGCCAGGATGCAAGACAGAATAAAAAAAATTCTCTGTAAGATGATACTTAATTTGTAGCTTTCAGACTTGCGTGGGATGATTGATGAAGTTACATCGACATTTATGTGTATATGTTCCTTAGAATATAGTCGTTTCATTCAGCTAATGACTTGCTGGTAAGAGACACCTTGTCATTTTGTCCAACTGTCTTCTTTGACTCCACCCAATTTTCCTAATAAGAAATATTATTGATTAAAATTTATTTAACTGCTGTCTTAGCATCCTCTTAATAACTTCTATACATAAATTACTTATTTTTGATTTATTTAACTTATTTTCTATAATGTCATCAATACATTCTTCATCATTTTTAAACATTACATGAAAAAAAATCAATTTCTTCTCATCTTACCGGTTTTTGATATTTTTTCTATTGAACGAAGTACCTGGATATATTAAATACACCAACATGATGATAGAATCAGTCATAATACTGTTTTCAATGTTTTGCTGAAACACATAATAATCTTTATTATAAAATAATTTTTTTTTATGTCATTAAATTTTAGAATACAAAAGAAAAATTGTTCAATTATTGAACGCATGAAATAGCATGACATGTTGGTACCATTCAGTCAAACTATCATTAAAAAAAATTACATTCAGTCAAAGTAAATAAGAAAATAATGTGTTAGATAATTTGCAAGGAATTAAATACAATTTAAAATTTTATCAAACAATCTTATTGTTAACAAAGATTGGATAACAATCAGCATGATGTAACTGGTGATGGATATAATCAATATAAGAACAGCAAACTATCAGTATTCATTGTGATGGACGAATGATCGTTAAAGCTGAGGGAAACAGGACATTAACTCATTCAGTGTATTGCCTGACATTTCGTTAAAGGTTCCAAGACCCAACCCCTCGTGTAGGAGGGTTTTATTATCTTACACTGGGGTTCAAATCATCAGGTTCTTCCCTGTATGTAGTCAGACATAACATGAGGGCAACGCCTTGGAATGGGCATGCAAGTATACCAAGCGAGAATAATAGAACGTTTATTACCGTAATAAATGCTTCGATTACCTATTCACTAATGTCTTATGAATCCAACAGACATATTGGCCCAATTTGGTGTCTGCCATGCTGTTAAACAGATAAACAAACATTTTTTATTATTGGATTATTCTATTCCCATGGTACTTATTTCTCACACTGTATGTTGGTGAAATTAATAACATAAACATGTGAGGGAGATGAAAGACAGTCAAAAATAAATAGCCAAGCTTCTGGATCAACTCTAAAGCCGGATATTTCTCGACTTGTCTCCCCTGTCTTATTGCTACCAAATACAGGATGAGATTTCTCGTGCAAAAAGCTTCTTCTTAGTGACTCTCAGTGTATGTAAACGAAACCACGAAGCTTAGCAAACGGCAGATGGCAGACTGTAGTTACTCTACAAGTCTCGACAGTTTACAAGAAGCTGTGGCTTCGATGTAATTAGCTGAAAACCATTTTGTTACTTGGTATAGACTTTAAAGGAGAATCCTTTGCTGTGCACCTCGTCCTTTAGCTCTAAAGTTATCTTACACAACTTCCGAAACTTACTTATAGTTAGGATTGTACTAGAACAAAAATAATAAGCAATCGTAAGACGACTATTATTATAGAATTATATAACTAAAATTTTTAATTTTCTTATTACTGTTAATAAAATTAATCATTTGACTTACGAAAGATAGTAACAATCTATTTCCATTGTCTATGACACTGCACGTTTGAAAATGAAGAGCTTCACAAGGTACTTATGAACTATGACTAATTGACAAGGATAATTTTTTGATGTTGTTGGGACATTGTAGTTTAAAACTTGTTCACCTTCAGACAAAAGATAAGACAATTAGTGGTATAAATATCGATGCAGTGACACTGATCGAATTTACCATCATAAAAATATTCCTGAATGTTCAAGTCATCATACATGATCTTTTATTTTTTAATTGTTTTTTTTTATCCTGTTATAACTGAAAACAATTATTTACCCTTTATTATCAATAATTATTGATAAACTTGGTGCCAAATGCTACCATCTTATGGTACGTTGAAACCACAACATATATTACAAACTTTATCTTTTAATAGATAAAACAATTAACAATAATTATACCGTAACAAGTTAGTTAATTTGGTGATAAGAATAAAATATATACTGTTTACATATTCTTACAATTGAACTTCTTATTAGCAATTCAAAGTCATGTAAATTACTTTAAAATTTCTTGAATAATTTTTACGCAAGTCTAGTTAGCAATTGAATTTAATTTTTTGTGTTAAGCTTTTTGTATCAAAGATGATGATGTACACATTTAACATATTAGTATTATTATTCTTCTATCAGCTAGATTTATCTGAAAGTACGTCAACTAAAACTAAAAAAAAAACTTTGAAGAAAAATAAAATTTATTGGCAATGGTAAATTATAGGTTTCAGTTTCGATGATCCAGATTCATGGGTCGAAGAATTCCCAAACTGTGGTGGAAGAAATCAATCACCCATTAATATTGATCTCAGAACAGTAACTTATAAGAAGTATCCTAATTCGTTTACTATTTATAATGAGAATAGAAAACCATATAATTACACTTTATGCAATGATGGCATGGCACGTAAGAAATTAAAACAATTTCAAAGTTGATGAAACTTTCTAACAAATTGTAAAACTTTTTTTGAATATTGTTGATAGTCAAATTATCTGGTAATTATGCTGATGGTCAGAAATCCTATCTCTCTGGTGGCCCATTTGGTAAAGATGAATATGAATTTGATCATGTTCAGTTCATTTGGAGTGCATCTGATGATGAACAAAGTGGTCATCAGCTTGCTGACTTGAAGTTAAAAGAATTTTATTCTCTCAATAATGTAATAATTTTTATATATTTTATGATTGATATTCATTGACTGTTCAGTTATCAAATGGAGACCCATTGGATACATTTCAAACAAGAATATGGAACGCTTGAGAATGCTAAGAATTTCCCAGATGGTATTGTCATCGTTGGTGGATTATGGGTAAAGATTGAGAGAATTTGAAAAAAAATATCTGTAACAGAACTTTTAAGAGAATAGGATTGATGATTTTAATTTTGATTAGGCTGTGAAAGACGACATCGATGAAACAGCTTTGACAACTAAAATAGTACCCCAACTTGTAAATGTTTCACAACCAAATACAAAAACACCTATCGAACCATTCACGTTTAGTGATTTAGAAGCTGAACCAGATTCTTCAGTAGATGCTTATCTTTATTTTGGAAGTGAGACAGTTCCTCCATGTGCACCTGCAACTTGGGCTGTCCTAAAATTTACTTATTATCTGACTTCTGCAGAAGTAAATATTTACCCAATTTTGATCATGATTAATCGTAGAGAGATTCTTGCTATTAAAAGAAATTTTCTGTAATTTTCTCAGTTATCAGCTTTTCGAGCTGTGACCTTAGAAAATGGTGCAAATCATAACATGCGACCAGTTCAACCCCTTGAAGATCGTGAGATCTATCAGACTCCAAAAGTATCAGGACAAGTCATTACTATGATGGACCTATTGAACCCCATTTAAGGAATTTTTAAAGATAATCCGTATGACAAATTGAATTTGAAAAAATGACTAAATGAAATCATTTAAAGAAATTATGTTGTGTAAAAATGTACTATTTTTCAATGCCATACCTATGATATATATGACTACTTAATCATGATTGCTTAAGTGATCTTTATCACCATCCTTAATAAAGAAGTATTCACCTTCAATGAATGATAAAAAACTAATAATCATTATCACTTTTGTTATAAACTATTATAAATTACATAACTTTGTAAGTAACTATGAAAGTTACTGAAGGACCATAGCATTATTTTCCTTTACAATACTAAGGCATGTGAATTATTTGAATCCGTCTGGAAGAAGCTCTAAAACAATTTTTTAAAGTAATTATAAATAAATATATGAATCAAAAATATGTTTATCATATTCTTTTTTTCATTTGCTATATTTCAACAATGTCAAGCATCAGGTATGAAATTATCATTCAAGTTCTAATCATAATTACAGAAAAACCTGCTCAATATTTACAATCTCTTTTAGATTTGACTTTCAGAGATGCAAATTCATGGTCTAAAGAGTATCCACAATGTGGTACTAAATATCAATCACCTATCGCCATCAACACCGAAAGTTTAATTCCTCAAGTTTATGATTCCCCACTCATATCTTATCATGAAAATGAACAAGCTAATACGTATACATTTTATAACACTGGAACTGGATGTAAGAAAAATATTTGATACGCTTTTTTAATAATTTTAAACAGAAAAAAATTTTTCATTTAACAAAATGCAATATTTTCTGTAGTGATGTTGGTATCAGAGTGGCCGGAAGGCAGAATACCTTATTTAAGTGGAGGTCCTCTTGGGGAAGACAAGTATTTTTATGATTCTACCTGGTTTCGTTGGAACCAAGATGGTCAAGATGAAAATGGTCATATTTTTGATGGAGAAAGGTTAATGATGATAAAATAATCACCAACCATTCACTCTATTTAAAATATCCATGATAATAATTAATTATAGTTTTCCATTGTTTGCTCATCTACATTATTACAACGAAAAATATGGATCTTTGGAAGAAGCTTCGAATTATCCTGATGGTTTAGTAGCAGTAGCTGCTAAATGGGTAATATCCATTTCGAATTAAAAAAAATATTTTGCTGCTTTTGATACTGATATCTGCTTTAACCATCAGGCAATAAGTAATGAAAGTACAAGTCCAGCTTTTTCTGGCATGATTCGACGACTACCAGAAGTTACAGAACCAGGATCTCAAGTAGAAATTCGACCACTTAGAGTTAGTGATACAAGAAATCGTCCCGATGATGATCCTAAAGTCATGTTTTATTACTTTGGATCTCAAGTGACACCACCATGTGCACCTGTAGAATGGTTTTTACCAGATTACGTTCACTATCTAACATTAGATGAAGTAAAGACTTGATCAATACTATTATTAAAATACTTACCACCAAATTTCATTCATATAATTTTATTTATAGTTGGCAGTTTTTCGATCAATAAAATTAAATAATAGTGATGATCATAACACACGTCCTGTTCAGCCTCTTAATGATCGTGAAGTCTACAAAACTAATAAATATGTAAGAGAATAATTAAAAATTTGTCAAGCAAAAAATAATATAGGTGTAAATGACAACATAGCTGATTTAGTTGGAAAAAATTAATGAACATTTTTTCCTCATATGAAAATTACATGGATATGTAAAAAACAATGCTTCACTTCTATTTATTAAATCTAATCTAAATGATTGATTTATTTCTGCTAATTGGATTATTGTAAATAAAGGAGTAAGATCTATGGAATATTGACAAAGACAAATGACTACTTTTAATCACCCAATTTGATCAATTACACCTTTCAGCTAGACACATAAAATACTTGACAATATGATTATACAACATCCTGGTTCTAACTACTAATTATGTTAAAACATGGTGATAAAAATTTCTTTGATTCTATAAAAACTTTGCGTTCATTGTTTGAGATTCCATTCACAAGAAAGTAGAAAAAATATATTTCAATAAGATCTAAGTAAATTTGATAACTACTAAAATGATTTACATTGTGGAAATTAGTTTGGTAATCGTGGCTCATCAAATTTTAGTATCAAAAAGTACGTTGATTATTATATCAGAGTTTTTCAATTAAATATTTAATCATACAGAAAAAATTTGATAAACTTGATTGATCATAGGTCTTTCTCTCAAGGATGGAAACTCATGGGCTGATGAATACCCAGCTTGTGGAGGTGAACATCAATCGCCAATTGATATACCTTCTCAAAATGTAATTAATAAAACATATGATCCACCATTTATAGTTCACAATGAAGATGTGATGCCACTAAGTATGACATTAAATAACGTTGGAACAGGATGTAAGAAAAGAGAAATATTCAAAATTCGTAAAATAGTTATTAAATAATGATGGTATTCATTTTTAGTGAAATTAGAATTTAGGTATCCCACTAAAAAAACAGACTTCATAACTGGTGGCCCTCTGACCCATGGTTATTATGTTCTTGGAGAAATTTCGTTCGTTTGGAATCGAAAACAATCAGCTGGAAGTGCTCATACAGTTGATGGAAAGAGGTCAATAAATCATAGTTGTTTATTTTCTCGAGTCAATAATAATTATTCAGAAACTATCATTAAATTATAATTATTAATTCACACAGCTATGCATTAGAAATGTATGCCGACTATTACAGAATAGTATACGAATCAATTGACAATGCTCAAAACTTTGAGGATGGTATTATTACCATTACTTCCTTTTGGGTGAGAAAAAAAAATCAAGATGAACAGTGAAATTTCATTATTTTTCAAATAATACTGGTGGTGTTGATAGGAAGAGTCTTCATTTGAAGCTGGAACAGCATTATCTAAAATAACTTCAAAGCTTTCGGAAGTGATTGAACCAGGATCTCATGCAGACGTTGAACCTTTCAAGTTTAGCGAATTAAGAAAGGATCCCGGTCATACAACTACCTACTTTGCCTATAATGGATCCCAACTCATTCCTCCATGTGCACCTGTCACTTGGATAATTTCTGATTACATTTATTCCATAACTTCTGATCAAGTACATAAATTAATTCATGTTAATGATTATTATTATTTTCATTGCTATTATTACATACTATTTTTAGTTGGGAGCTTTTCAAGCAATAAAGTTTGAAAATGATGATGATGATCATAATGCACGACCTGTTCAACCGTTAAATGGTAGAGAGATTTTTAAATTCACCAAAGAATTAGAAGATTCAAGTCTAACAGATTTTTAAGATACAATAAAATATTTTTTAAAAATAAATGCTTTCAAAATAAATTTATTTTGCTTTTATGATTTTTTTTTTTAATTAAATGGATGGAAAAATTACATTTTTAATTATTTCTTAGGAAGTTAATACTGTTACTAAAAATAAATCGAAAGCACACATAATTTATTCTACATCATTACATTTAATTTTTATTTATAAATATAGGTTTAAATGAAGTGTTAACTGAGAATTTTATTTATAAATAATTCTTTGAAAAATTGTTATAGTTTGAATCTAAATCTAATTTATTAAGTGAATCAAGGACAAATACATTTTAAGGCCTAAGTAAAGTTTTTTTTTCCTTATTTCATGAAATTGATAAGAAATGTCATGGCAATTACAATATAATTTTATCGATAAGCATAAAAATTATCTAGCAAAAATGCGTTCACATATAATGAAAAAAAAACATTTTTTTTCTTCATAATATTAGTGTATTTGGAAATAAATTTAGTGCACGTTGAATCTATATTCTATTATTGATTCAACTATTTTTATTTAAAAATCATGGTTTTATTTCTAAATATTTGTTTATTTATTGTGTTTCAATTATTTGACATCTCTTCAAGTACGATAAGTACCATTAAATCAATTATCCTGAATTTTATCGTTGAAAAAAAAAATGTTGGTATATTTATTGAACATAAATGAAATAATAATACACCAAATTATAGGCACATATACATTTAGAGATGCTGATTCGTGGTCAATTGAATATCCACAATGTGGAACTGAGCATCAATCGCCCATCGATATTTCCACTGATCAAATTCAGCCAGGAAAATATGAACAGCCTTTTACAATTTACAATATAGATCAGCCACCCAATAAATTTACACTGAATAATACTGGGAAAGGATGTAAGACATAAATTTCATATTAAATTTAAAACAGTTTTGATGTGCAATGTGAATTCAATTCTCAGTAAAATTAACGGGTGAGTGGGATGATGATAAAATCCCAACGATCACTGGTGGACCACTCATTGTAGATCAATATGTCTTTGGCTGCAATGAATACTACTGGAGTAGGGAAAATATATCAAACAGTCCTCATAAGGTTGATGGAGAAAGGTAGATGATGAAAAATATATTAAATTTACTTAACAAAAGTAATTGAAATATTTTTTAAAAATAGTTTTGCACTTGAAGTACATGCAGTTTATTACAAAAAAAATTATGGCTCACATGATATAGCTAAGAAATATGATGATGGTATCGTCATAGTTGTTGGAGTTTGGGTAAAATGACTAATATGAAAAAGAACATCTAGAAATAAAATGTTTAAATTGATTTAGAAAATCATTTGATTGGTCTTAACAGGAGGAATGGGCATATGGCGAAGATACAGCTATTTCGTTGATCACTTTAAAACTGCCTGAAGTTGTACGACCAGGAGCTGTAGCAGATATCAGACCATTCAGTTTTCTAGAATTATTAGAAGATCCAAGTGACCCACCAACAAATTATTATACTTATACTGGAAGTGTAATAAAGCCACCATGTACTCCAGCACTCTATTTCATACAGAATTATATTTATCCTATCAAACCTCATGGCGTAAATATAAATTCTATTTCTCTTCTACATATTTTTCTTATTGAAATAAATTCATTCGAATTTTCATTTTAATTATTTCTATAGATGGAACTCTTTCGAGCAGTTCAATTTGAGAATGATGATGTCAGTAATGTACGTCCACCTCAACCTCTTAATGATCGTGTGGTCTATGAGTTAGAAAGAAGAATAGGATAAATTTATCATTAGTGTAAATATGATGCAGAACTTTTTCATCAATTAATGATGGATGAATACTTTTAATTGCATAATATATACGTTGATGAGTTGTTGATAGCAGCAGAAATTTAAGTTGGTTCATTTTTGTTATATGATTCGTACATGAAGTATAAATACAACAAATGTTTTCAATAATAATCATTAAAAACAAACTGATTTATTTTTGAAGAGTGAGATTTATACACTGATTTACCCTTCGAATTAACTAGGCGGTAATGCCAGGATCGGGTGACATTGTAATTGGGACCCAAGGGACAACCAACCCTCTCCTATTCTCTTTGCATTTTTTTCTATCTTTTCTTCTGACTTGCTAGTGTTTTCTTCCAATTAAATTTTAGTCCCCACAAAAATGGCTAAATTGATGAATATGAGACTCAATTGTGTTAAAAAGGATTTCAAACTCAAAACTATTATTTGAGGATTAAAAAATAACCGTAAGATTTATTTAAAAATAAAAAAGTCTGATACATTCAGTGAGTTGGAGAAATATTTTCCCAACATTTCACTCTTTTTATCTCAAGCCTGTTTCCCTTCACGCTTCCTCTGTATTCCTTAATTTCCAATGAGTTGGAATACGACATGAAACGCTAAACTGCCACAAAGAGAAGATCCACTACAGTAAACGTTTGTTCATCACACTCATTCCACTTTGGTTTGAACGTAGCAAAATGTCTCTCTTTCAATTTTCTCGTGGTCACCCTTTTCAACATTCTCTGAACAAGATATCGAAGCAGGCTTCCTAATGTTTGTCCACTGTTGTGACTTTGTTTTGCACCCGGGTGGCCAGCAGCCCCTACATGTTTAACCCAAGCAGCTCTCACGAAGATCCAAAGATTCAATGAATCAGAACACAAGCTAGAGAGCTCTAACAGAGAAATAGCGTTCACGTGAAGCCAAGTCAGTCACAAAGGGATTCCTTGTATGTTGTTTCAACGATGCCACGGGTAAAAGGACGTCTTTCATTTTCCCTCTTTCTTCTTGGTGATACCCAAGGGGTGGCAATTCTCGCGGTCCTCTACAACACCCTTCAATGCTTAAACACCATCAGACGGTTGCCACCGACCGCGACACAGTTTGCTTCAAAGACAGACTGGTAAGAAGGGGGAAAAGAAACTCAAGTATGTATACATCTTAGTTGCACACAACAAAGGGTATTTTCTGCGATACTCTTTAGTAAATTAGCTCCTTTAGAACAAATAAAACAGAACAGTGATGCAGTAGCAAGAGAGTAATAAAAGGGGTTGAAATAAAAGCCAACCAAGCTTGTTGAAAATACTCTATTAATTACCCACGCGTTCTACTTTTTTCTTTTTAATTCGCGTTACCAGCATGTGAAATTGACTGAGAATTTTTTTCTTCACACACAACAGAATAAAACCAAAGCTCCAACTACGATCAGAATCAATTTAACTGCATATTTTGCTGTGATGTTTTTTCACTCAATTGACCGACCAACCCCATCAGTGGTGTTCGGTTCTACAGACTAGTATTATATCTCACGCGTCAACCCACCAACCACCCCTGTATTGCTCACTACCTTGCCTTCTCTTCATCCTTCTGGCCCTTGGAGGCAACAACAAGCACAAGGGGGTAGGTGCCGTGGTCACTTTGTGAACTAAGCTAGCTTTGCTCGCTGTTTAATTAAGTCCTGCCTGAACTACTATTACTGCTCCTACTCTGTTTCGTCCTCATTCCCTTCTCACCCTCTCTTCTCATTTTCTTGTACAACAACCAAGACTAAGTATGCACCAGTTTTCCACATGTACGCCTTCATTAATTTCTAAAAAAACCCAATAATTTCTTGATGTAAAAGAATACTCGGCAAAAAGCCCACTAAGCAATCTTTCTTTTTTTGCTGAAAACTCATAGATAAAAATAGTCATCATTTTCATACTCATCATTTTCCAACTCAGGTAATCAATACAGCCCAGCACTGAAAAATGTTAAAAATACTTTAGAAGGTGAAATAATTGTTTCTATTGCCATAAAAGAAAGAAAGAGAGAAAGGTGGGAAATGGTGGTGGTGGTGGTGGTGGATAGATAAAAATAATAATATCAAATGTGAGTTTGAAAATTCTTGAGTGATGTAACAACCCCTTTTTTTTACCCACCCTTTGGCCCCCTGAGGCCGTCAAGAGAGTACGCGTCTCCCATGTACTATCTCTGGCAGGCTTCGCACGCGTATGAATTCGTTGGCGCATAACAGTGAGCTTCCGTAATATAATTGTTAATGCGCTGATGCGCCCCCGGGCGAGCGTTTATGCATTGTGTACGCTAACTCTCGCGCTCTCTTTCTCTCTCTCGTTGTTGGAGTATGATGGTTGCAAACGCGTCCATGAGTACCAACCCCTTACGTAAAAATAGACGCACAACAGTAATACAGTACATTGCACACGCCTCGTGTGTTATCTCTTTCTCTCGAGCGTCCTAACGGATATAATCAGCTGGAGAAAAAAATGCGTCAAGAGTCTATTACATACTCTAGATGTTTTTCACTAAGCCTATCACGTTTTTCTAAGCATACTCCTCAGTTAACGCACTAGACTTTGTTATTTATATTATTTTGCCCTCTTTTCTTACCACCGACTATTTTTTACATTAAAAAATAACCAATAAAAAAAATCTTGATTAGATTTCCATAATTGACTTTTTGACAAAGGGAAAATGTTTTTGCATGGAAACTGTTTCTTGTTAATAAATTCAAGCAAAAGTTCTGCGCATTTCTTGCCCTCCAGGCTAAATTACCCGGTTAGACGGATAGATACATATTTCCTACTATATCTTCTTACTTCTCCTCTTTCTCCTGAATATAATGAAATAATACAGCCTGTGGGGCAAACTGAAAAATATTCACTGAAAGTAAGTCGAGTGAAATGAAGAAAACTATCGGAAATTACGGTAGTTGCCAATTATTATCATTATTCTATTTATCTTTCATAATAGCTTATGCTATTTTATATACAATCATTTTTATTTTTATAAATAATTCACTGCTATTGACAATATGCTGATTTAATATCCACTAATAACTTCATCATGTTGAGAATTATTTGAAATGATGAAAATTGAATTATATAGAATATCTATAGAATTAATTTCATGTATTCATAACAAAAGAAATTCCACATTCTTTGAATCAATCAAATATTTGTATTTCAGTGAATTCTATTGTGATAAACAAATGAGATTAATTCATATCTGATAAACAGAAAGATAAATGAGCTTTATAATGATTGTTTGATGATGATCAAATCAGATAAAAACAAAGTTGTAAATTAAATGTTGGTTAAAGAATTATTTAATTAAAATTTTCTTCTTGTTTGATTTAATTTAATGAAAATTCCCAATCGCTTGCATATTTCTTAGCATCCGGAGAGATAAAGTCAGGGGCAGAGAAGGTCTTCTCGTGCATGCCCACTTAATCGTATTTCATAATAATGAGCCTGAGTACAGCTATAATAAACAAAGCATGTAAGAAATACCATCTAACAAGCGATTATATTCTTGTGTGCACAGAGGTATGCATATTCACATTTATTCACGATATTTAGATTTTACATACAACACTAAATATCTACATTCATTGGCATTCACGTGTTCCTTCACTGTTGTTATAGACTTATAGGAAATTTTGGGTTCCAAGGAATTTTGATGAAATTTCGGGAATTGCGATGGCACTCGAGGTAGTAAAAGCGTTGTGTATACTTGTCAATACGATGTGGGGACAAGAATTTGCCTCGAGCGCACATGTAAATATAAACGCATTGGCATTAAAGTTTTAACTGTGGAAATAGCATTTTAAATGTTTCTGCTCTTTATGCATTCATCATTTTTATGTCCCATAATTTAATATAATATCTTACCACTGAATTTTTTGCATAATAAATAAATAGCAATAAAAAATTATTTATCCTGGTGGTTGAATTTTAAAATAATTAGTTTTATATATTGGAAATGGAGATGGACTGGGTGATGTAGAGATTAGTTTGGAGTGGATTAAATCCAATAAAATATCAGCATACTTTAAATTCATCATAAATTAGAATAATAATTTATTAATCAATAAATAAGGACCATTTTCTGCTGACAAGGATATACAGATAAGAAATGTTGGGAGAAGGATAGAAGGGTAGGATTTGAAGTGGCTCTTAATGCAAGTCCTCATAAAGTAACATCCCCTTAAAGTCCTACTGTCGGTCTGTTCGTACATGGCTGTTTCCACTATCCCAACGCTTTCTATTATGCATGCCTCCCTTATTGGCAGTAAACGGGCTTACCCTCAACCCCCGCTTTTACTCTCTCCACTTCTTCTTATTCTCAACATTATGCACATAAGCATATTTTTGCTTATTAACCATCTCCACTGGTATTGCAGAAAATATTAAAACAACAATTCAGCAAATGTGTGTGTTCAAAAATGAAATTTATGAAAATGTGTCCGGGGTGTGTTAATATGAATATAAACATTAGCTTTCTGCAGTCAGAATCATCGAGTCATTAAATAGCAAATGCGTTCAGAGTATAAACATCCCAGTTTAGCATCAGGACTTGATCACCAGCAATTTGGTCTCGCCAATGGTCCATAGTCATTGATGGGCTCTACGTGTTAACGATTATGTTTTCGGCGGTTGTAATCATCAGAATGATTGTCGCGATCTAATAAAGTCTGATGGACATTGTATTCGATGTAATGCATGTTGGTGATGTTTCCTGCTGGATGATGATGATGCTGTGATCATAATTGTTTGATCCCCATATGTTCTATAAATGATGTTTAAGCTTCACTATCACAATTACGACGTCCAATCCAGAGTATTTCATATCAAGGAATCAGAGATCATTTTTAACAGTTCAATACTTGAATTAAAATTATTTTCATTTGATAAACATTCATTTTATTATTATTATTAATATTTACAAACATTACATTATTATAACAAAAGATACTTTACCAGATTTTTGTTCTCACTTCAAAATTTTTTTCTTAATATCAGGCTTTTCTAAATCAATGAATAAATAATAAATAAATGATTGACTATTTGTTACAAGTCTTGAAATTTATTTAAGATTAAAAAAATTCTTTAATATTTAAATAAATATAAGATACTCCGTTCAACAAAATTTTTTTGATAATTATATTCATTGAATTTCTGTCTAAAGAGCATTTA